GTGAAATTTAAACCTATAGAAATATTTTAATAGTTTTAAACTGCGGAAGAATCTATGCTTCTATATAATTAAACATATTCCTAAATAATAATCGTAAAGATTTAAATTTGGAATATCTTATTAGTCCTATTTACTAATGCTTTACTTTACTAATACTTATAAATAATTATAATTATATTTTATAATGTAAAGACTAAGTTTTTGTTTTGGAACGTATAAATATGTTTTTATTATTCTTGTCATGTAGAATTTCTCTGAATTTTGCTGTATTTAAGCCTGTTAAAACATTTTTTTATATTATGACTTTAAGAAGGAGTAAGCATTTAAACTTAATTTCGATAAAATAATTGTTATTTTATTCGATTTACCAATAATATAAAAGTAATTAATTGTTGTTATAATTATTTAAAATAATAATTTAATAATAATGATACCTCAAAATTAATCTTTAAATATATTAAAGAATAAGTAGACTATATAAATTTACAATAGAGAATTCATCAACAGGAGATTAATTATTATAAAAAGATAGATTCTGTCTAATTTATAAATTTTATAATATATATATGATATATATATTAGAAAATTGTCTTATTTAATTTCATATTTTGAATAATTTTGCATAGTTCGTGTATATATACTGTTAACTATTTGATACAAATAGATATTAGATGTTAATATTTTACTAATTATATCAATATTGTGTTAAGATATCTTAAATCCAAAATATTTACTAAAATTCACAAATAATTTAGTCAAATATATAGAATAGAATCATTTAAGTATATATTTAGGCCTCTATAAGTTATGAATATTTATATATGATAGGTAATGTAAATGAAATATTCATATTCGAATAAGGATATTTAATATTTACTCTAAAATATTTGATATTATATAACAAATAATTTTAAATATAAACATTATAAAATGTCATAATTACATGCTGGTTTATGGTATTTGTTAATTCATTCTTCTTATTCTTTATTTCTAATAATGAAAATATATAATCGACACTTTTAATTGTTGTCTATTTTAGAATATTGAAACAATAAAATATAAGTTTTATTCATGAAAAAATATTTAAAATAATTTATTTTGTTTTAAAGTGATTTAAAATATACATATAAACTATTAAAGATTTTATAGAAATTATTGAAATTTAAATGGTTCTTAAACGCTTTTCTTTTTATTCGAAAATTTAAATACTATAATTCAAACAGAACAATTAGCGCATTTCACTTAGACTTAGTGAGTGAAACACTTTATTTTTTTCTGAAAAAAAAATATGTAAAATAAAATTATTTTATAATAGAAATTAATTTTGCAAGAGCGAAAACTATTTAGAAACTATTAACATTCGTCCTGAGGAAAAACTAATAATTTTATCTATCAATAGAAATTATTGTTTCGTGCTTGAATTCGGATCGATCGCTTAATGTAAGTTCAATACTTATCCATCTTTCACATATTTTACTAATGTTAAAAAATGCATTTTTAAAAATTAAATGCATCGATTTACCGTTCGAAAAAACTACATAATGGATTTTTATAAATGATACAAAGAGCTCCGAGATAATATACGATACAATTTCTACTTAATTATTTTCAAATTATAATTTTCTTATTAATACGAATTTCTTATCGATATCAAAATTTGATAATTAAATAAAAAAAACTATTGATATCGATTAAATAGCTAAAGCGATAAACCTAAAAGCATATGTTTTTGATCAAAAATTAACATAATAGAGATAAAAATCAAATAGAAGCTACTCTATCATTTATGTCTCATATACAATTAAATATAATTACGCAATAAATACATCTTTTAACTTAATTCGAAATATTTTGTGGAACTTTTCTAAACGTTTTAACATTGCTAAAATTAGTAAAAAGAAAAAAAAAACACTAAGTTTTAAGAACCACGAAAAATAGATTAAGTGTAACGGCGTAACGTAAATGTAAGATTTTTATTAAAAAAGATCAAATTTCAATATGAATACTTAACAAAAAAAGAGAAATATAAAATGAATTCTATTAGAAATCAAATCCAAGATTTTACAAATCTTGACAAGGACAGGAGAGGAGCTTGCAAGATTGGTTAAAAACAATATGTTCATTGTGTCATCTGTCACGTTACTATGGAAACGGTCCTGTGTAAGATGTATTGTTGTGTAGGTAAGGTGTGGAGCCGCTATAGAATGACATGAAACAGAGTTAAATTGTAAGTGGTAACGTGATATTTAGGTGTGACTATCCGAGTGAGCTAACATCAAATAGCTCTCTTCTCTCCAAGAAAAAAATAAAAATTAGGAAGAAAAGAAAAGAAGGTTTATAACCAAATATATATTCTAATAATTTATAAAGTTAGGAACAAATTTAATTAAGTAGGGTGTAACCAGTTCTGTTTTAGTAGAAAATTATAATTATCGAAATATCTATATTACAATGGGCGTATTAATTTACTTTAAATATCAAAGATGTAGGCCTATTTGTTCTTTTAAATATTTTAATTAATATCCCTATTAAGAAAATGTTTCATAAAATAGTGTTTTAAAATTTAGTTAAATATCGATTTTATCAATTATATAGCCTGCACCAACTGCGGTTTGACGATAGACTGAGATCAGCAGGTGGTTCGAACGTTACACGATCGTAAAATATTAAATGGAAGGGAAAAAAAAGCAAACCGAACCAAGTAATTTATATCCAAAATAGTTTTTAATCTTTACCGTGTGAAGTGATACGGTTATTTAAAAAATTTCCTACAAATTAAACCTGCGAAAAAGCATTTAGATAATGACTTTCTTTCTATATTTAAATCGTCATAGTTAAAATGCGGTATCTTTTTTTAAATAATTAAATATCATTTCCATCTTACTGTAAAATTATCGTTGTCTTTTCAATCTTCTATATCATCAAATACGGAAATGACGTTGTTATCAGCGTGACGTCATACGAGATAAGATCCGAAAGATGAAGGATGCAATGTCACTTAGAAAATAAAACAATAGTCTTTACACTCGTTCCTAATTTGATACATGTGATATTTTTTTTTACATTATCTAATTAGTTTGTCATTCCATTTTGATTTTAAAAATTCACTATTTTTTGTCACAAACATACACATAAATATTTTATACGATGAAAATTTTGCAAAATATATAAATTTTCATTCACGCTGCCTGCAGCTTTTGTCGTATTTCACTAAAATAGTTTCAAATGAGATATGGTCGAAATGCTGGAAGTAACAAATATTTTTTTCATACTTTCGCTAGTAAAAAAATATTACTTTTTAAAAAATTTCCAGCAAAATTTTATCTATCTTATTATGTATCAAATGAATAATAAGACATTTTTTCCCCGAACTCAAAACGCTCTATCAGCAAGGTATTTACAGTTTGATGGATAAAAGCAACAGATAACTCAGCGTGCTGTCGGGTTCATAAGAAGGAAACTTCATAAGAGAAGAATAAATTACAAAACTAACTTAGCGAGGGTTCTCATCAAATCCCTGTTACAAGATAAACTCCTTCTAATCTCATCTTTTTTAAAAATTGCATTATTGACCAAACTAATAATATCGAGTCTGATAATAAGTGGTAAATTGAATCTCGGTTGCTCTGTTATCACATTAAAAGTAGTTTTTATCGTCGAATATTTCTATTAAACCTCTCTATTAACGGAAATTGAACTTTTAAGTAAAATTTTTGGCATACATACTCTGTCATTTTTTTAAATTTACATTCTCTAAATTAGCTGAAATTAAAAGAACTTTGAAAAGTTTCGTTATATTACACGCTTGAGTGACTCTTTAAATTTTACCTGTAATATATTAATAAAAGTTATTTAGAAGAAAGAAAAATAAAACTTTTTATCCCGAAATATGAAACCTATATTATATAAGCAAATTGATTCTTTTAATCAAAATGACCATTTTAATAAAGTACATAAATATGTATTTGAGTTTGTCACCATGTCACAATGATATAGCGTGTCATCGTAAACAATACATGATATTGATCCTTGTGGATTTAAGGACTCACAGTGCTTAGTCCGATGGATACGAGCTGGTACTGTTAAACAATAGAATTTATATTATGCACACAAACATTCTATCACGCTATTTAATGATAGAGTGTAAAGAGAAAAATTCAGCTCTTAATATTTAGAATAGTTTCAAATTAAACTTTCGGTAATTCCTTTTTTTAATAATATATACAAACGACTTAAATTATAATTTTTTGCACAGAGGTTAAAGATGAATAAACACGATATTGATTTTGTTAAATGCTTTATTTATTCAATGTTTTTTGTTATAAAATTAATTTTAAAATTTAGACATTTACGAACAGAAAAAATTTTTTGTGCATTTATTTTCTCGTTATATGGCGAAATATGTTAATTTTCTGATTAATTTTAATAATAAATGAGGCCGATGTTAATAAAAATTCAATACTTTACTCCGGTTGTTCGAAAAATTTGTTTCTCGATTATTTATTAAAGAATTAAAATCCGATAATTTAAAAGCGCAAGTAGTATATAATAAACGCTTGATTTACTTATATACGTCTTTTAAACTTTATATGTACAAGTAATATATGTAAATAATAAATTAACAATCGCGTAAAGTAGAAAATTCGCGAAATTAAATTTAAGAAGAGTAAAAAAATGTGATAAAATAATCTCCATCACCGAGAAGAGATATTGCGATATAAGAAAAATACAATAGTCACGAAACATGAATAAGTGATGGAAGGATGACGAGTCTTAGCACCTGTTCGACTCTTTCGGGAAGTTTGATTTAGTCGATGCTTTCATCCCCATCGACTTGGGTTTCGTGTCGACAAACGGGAAGCTCAAAAATAATTACGATTATGAAATTGCATTTAGACAGCCGTTTCCACGCTACAGGTATAATAAAGGAACACAGTAGAAATTCGGCGCGATCGTAAAGGACGAATGGCTGAACATATGATATTTAGAAAAGTACTTACCCTAATGTGGTCATGGTCACTATGGTATACCAAAAAGCGGCGGGGATGCTGGTGAAAGTAGTGTTGTCAACGTTTTTCTCTGCATAGAACATCACTGTCGCAAATATGATAATGGCCATTGCTAATGAAAACACCAAAAATCCTAGCTCAGAAGCACAACTTTTAAGCGTATATCCGAGAATACGGAGACCCTGGGAATGGCGAGAAAACTTGAAAATACGGAAAACGCGAAAAACACGTAACGTGACGAAAGCACCAGACACGTCGTCGTTGTCCTTGATGCCCAAACCTATATAATATGGCATAATAGCTACGACGTCTATAATACTCATTACACTCCGCATAAACTTACAGCGGTTGGGTGCAGCGTATAACCTCAACAGGTACTCTGCCGTGAAGATCATAACACAAGCGGTATCCAGGCAGAAGAACGCCACTTTATACATAGTACCACAGGATAGAATTTCACCGGTATTATCGTCTCTCCCGCACGGAATCGTTTCTACCACATTAGCCATCACCGACACCGCAATAAAGAATCCGGTGACGTAATAAAAGACGAGGGCTGCCGTGCCCGTGTGCGGGTTTTCGAATGCCCTCCACATTCTTTCTCTAATGGTGCTATTGGCCATACACTTTTGGTCTTGCGTTTCGGACAGTCTGTCATCCATGAGACGCTCAGCATTCTCGCGCTTTCTATCCCTATAATCTTCATAACAGCAATCGCCGATGACATCAGGGATGATACCGAAGAAGGAGAGCTCCTCATCATACGACAGCAAGCATTCGTGTCTAGGGTAATGTAATTTACCTGTGCGGTAGTAATTGAGAATGTGACGGAAGATATCCGGATCTCTATCAAAAAAATATTCCTTTGTTTCTTCGTCGTAAAAAAATTCACGCTCATTCGAACCGAGTAATGTGTCGGGATATTTTTCGACAGTATTTCTCCACGTTTCGAAACGTCTTCCACTCACATTTATAATGAATTTTTCGTCCTGACTCTTCTTCCGCTCTTTTGTGACAGGTGGTGCCGGTAAGGGATTATTGGCTATAGGAACCCATCCTATAGCGGCGGCCCGGGCAAACGGCAGCCAAGCAGCCACCGATGCCATGCCTCGATGCGAGTATCGGGATACACAAGCAACACAACGTTCCACCAAACTTCACACTGTCATTCCGCAAATGATGCAGCAGTCGGAGCGGCGGCGATCCTGCTACTCGTCCGCTGATGTCACACCCATCTGGACACGTCACAAGGTTACTGGGTGAGAGAGAAAACGCTGCCTGACATGTCGCTCTTCGTCGCCATCTTGTGTTAGAACCTGCGCACGAGTTCTTCGACGGGCCGCCAGAGGGAGTGGCGGAAATATAACACAAAACCTCCTATAATTTCGGGATGGACAACCTAGCCTGCTCTCGAGCAAACATTCTATCTGCAGGAGAGTTGCTCCGCTCCTCTACCACTCTATTCCCCGTTGTCACCATAGTTACGATGACGTCATTCTCTCTCGTCCTTCGCTACGAGCGCAGCGGAGACTCTCCATCACTCCGTCACTTTCTTACTCAGTTGCAGATACAAGTAATTACGCTAATTTTGTGTCAAAAGCAAAATGTTTGCCTAGTCTCGCTGTTAGATTTTGTTCGCTCCTTCTCCTTTTGCTTCTCTTTTTAATTCTATCTTTGCAAACGATTGCTTTACTTTAAACAAACTTAACACGTCTAACAATTTGAAAATTGAATAAGCCAAAGCGCATTTCATAGTTACGCTTGCAACGGAAACGTTTAATATTTAATTCAAATATAATTGCGTTATAAAAATTTAAGCCGTTATATTTACGTTTGACTCTCTATAAACTAGTAAATTTCGTTTATCCATTTTAGCTTGATTTAATTCTTATCGGGGAAGTTCTATTAAGTGAGATAGATACTTTTTAAATTCGTGTCAAGCCAGTGTCGAACATTATACTACACTGACAACACTCCATGTATATTTTCCAACTGGGTCGAGCTATATTTGTCGAATGCACGGTCTTTTATAAATACAAACATCTCTCGTAAAATTTCCTAATTAATTGATAAAAAGATTCTCCCGCTTTAATATTAACGTCCGTGACTAGATAAATAATTTTTTATTAATTAATTTTTTTCTTTCTAAACGTAGTTTATTCAACAACATCCGATCAATATAATATATGTTGCAAATAAATTATTTAAATTTTATATTCTGAAAATTAGTCTTTATTATTATTTTTTGAGCTTTTACACTTAATTTATTAATAATTTTAATACGATAATTTAAAAAAAAATATGCAGTCGATATATTATAAGGAAATTTTATAAATTATCCCTTTACTATAAGATATATAATAGTCGTTTATTTGTATAAAATATAAATATTTATATTTTATAAACATTTTGAAAGTGTAATTAAAATAATATTTAATTAATCAGATATTTAATAAAAGACATTTTAACTCTTCTGAGAATTAAGAAAAAATTCTGCTTATTGTAACATCCAACCTGAGACAGATGCTCAATCCATTACGTCTAATAATATTAATTATATGAAACGTAATTAAAGATCATGGAAGAAAACTTTATTACTTAGGATTGCAGTGATAAAATACGATTAAAAATTAAATTATAAAATAAAAATATTGAAAATTGCCAAGCAACATTAAATATAAAATATTAAAATAAAAACGAAAAATCTATAAATATTTTTTGAATAATTTCCATCAAAAATATTTTAAAAAATGCTAATTTAAAGTTATAATTGATTCATATAATTATCAATGTCAATTCAAACAAATTTTTAAAAAAATCTCTCACTTCAATAAGTATTCATATTACAGAAGAAAATTAGACCAATTATATTTTGTCGGGTTCAATCCAAGAAACCGGCTGCGTAGGATAATAAATGGAAAAAAAAAATACATAACAGAAAAAAATAAATTGATTAATATGTAATACTAAACTCTACACATCACGTGATTTATTAAAAACGGTAATTAACACCGGTACAAAATTTTAAGAAAAATATAAATGAATTCGAAGTGTAAATGAGAAAATATGTTTCGAATCATTTAAATAGAATCATAAATCATTAACAGTTTGATTTAAATAATTTAAGGAATTCGAAACTATTCGTAATATTATTGTTAAAGTTTGTTGCTCGTTTAATTATCGAAATGTTAACGTTAAAGTTTCGATATAAAAGTATAATCGTTTGTCTTCGAATTTATAAAATGACAACTGGGCAGACTAATTCGTGTGATTAATGTGAATTAGGATATTATTTTTATCTGACTCTTTTAATCATTTATTGATAAAGAATCGATTTATCATATTCTAAATTTTTAAATCGGATATATTGAAGATGAATTTTTTTATCGATGATTTGAAGTGGATTTATCTATCTTTATATACAAGTATATATTAATTTATTATCGCATTTTTCGATTTTTTTCATATTTTAAAATTTCAAAGCTCGAACGAAGTCAATGTTTTTAAAATTTATCAAATTAAAAAATAATTTTTATCTATAAATAAATATATAAATTCAAAAAATTATAACTCATTGATATATTTGAATATATTTAAAATAAAAGAGAATTTCTAAGAATTTTATAAACTTAAGATTTTCTTCGAATTATTTATTATCAAAAAAAGACTCTATTAATAATTTTCTACAAATTTACTAATTTTCTATGAATTTAACAAGGGAATTGGCTAAATTTAGTTTGCTAGTGAGCCTAGTATCGAATAATATTAGCGATAGCAATTATCTAGAAAGTTATTAATCCTGGGAGGTTTTCTTTTATAAGACTTTTCCTAAATAAGTCTAATCGATCATTTATAAGTCAAAATTCTTTAAGAGTCAAAATGTTCAGCGGTCTGATAATAAAATAGAAAAAAAAACCGTCCTCATCGGGACGACATATCACTAAAATGTTGCCAAGTAATATTAAAGCCAGACATTTACCTCGTAATAGAAAACATTAAAACACAAAGAAAATGATTTATTTAAAGTATTTGAATATATATTATTGATATTAACTCTTAAAAATATTATTTTAATAAAATAAAACGCATCACCGACTGATAAATACTGAATTTTCGTACAGATTTATACTTTATTTGAAAGTTTTTAGTTTAAAATGTTTAGTTTAGTATATTTATTTTCTCTGTCTCTACAAAAATATTTAATGTTTTAATTACCTATCACAACAATTCTTAAGCAATAACCAAAATATGTAAACTATTACTTGTTCATTGAGCAAAACTTTTCATAAATGAATATATAAGCAATTAGTTGCCGGATGTGTTTGTTTATTATCGCGAATTAAACAGATCTTATAAATGCGATATTAAGTAAAGAAAGTTACATTCATTTCGTTAATGAGATGAAAATGTCAAGGACAACTGATCCATGATTCATTTCATTGCTTTCACAGTTGAGAATTACCTTAGAAGAGCTATTATTACGAGAAATAACTGGCTTGAACTACTTAAGATATGCCTACGCAATATTGGGATTAAGCAAGTTTATAGATTTTAATGGAATGTAAATCGTATTTAATTTTTAAATGAATTTTTTTAAATAATTAAAACATTGTTTATTTTATTTAAATTAATGATAAAATAGAAAATTGCATATAAGTTGATAGAATAGTTTATAATATTTTTGCGTGCTTTCGTAAGTAAAAGTAAAATTAACAGATTACAAATATATATAATGTATATATTAATGTATAATTGAACAGTATATAGCTGTGTTTAATATTCTACAACTGTTTTAAATAACAAATAGACACTATATTAATACAGTACTGTTAATTTTATGGAAACCTGATAAACAACGCGTATAACCAAATGATTATATCGATATTTCGATAGAACACATCGTAAACATAAAACAATAAATACATTCATTAAACATATGGTAATAATTTTTATAAATATTTATGAATTATTTTCTTTGTGAATTCAATTAATATTACTTTCAATCTAGCGTTTATTGTCGTTAAAGCAAATTACTCCGAAGCTACAGGAGCAAGTTCGATACGAGTCTCCTTCTTTAACAATTCAACTGATCATACGTCTCTAGTTAATTAATCATGAACATTTTTGCCAGATGGATTACTGAAGTTGTGAAAAAAATATTGGATGAGAACTAATATTAGCATTAACCTTGAATATTTTTGATTTATCGAAACGGTTATTATTAACTAAAATATTTGTATGACTTCATCAGCTTATTGTATAAAAAAGAAGAAAAAATTAAACGAAGAATTAGGAACTCGAAAATAAATAGCTAATGCAAAATTATCACAATTCTTGATTTGTTTTTATTAAATAAAAACAGAAAAATTTACATGAAAAATTTAAATACGGAAAAACATATAAAAAAATGCATTTTTAATAAATTTAAAAAATAAATAGTTTACTTTTTAAAATAGTTTATTATCGTTAATTTAATAAATTTCATATTTTTTCAAAATAATTTGTTGACATTTTAAACTTTGACATTTCATCAATTTTTTTCATTTTTTAAAAATCAAATTACCTATTTAAACTAGTTTTAAATTAATCTTCAGTTTGTGTTCAAATATACGCTTTCTGTTTTTGATAATCCGTCATTTTAGATGGATTTTGTCAGGGAAAAAGTTTTCCCTAAAGAAAGGGAGGAAAAAACAGTTTATTTTCAATAAACAAAATCTAATGACTTTCAAACTTCTTACAAAAATTTTAAAATTAATGTAAAATATAAACCTTTATCGATTTATAGACATTATTATTTTAAATCATTACTAATTAATAAATAAATTTATATTTTCTTATGTGAAATTAATGTCTACTTCTGTATTTGGAAATTCGAAGCATTATAAAATAGATTGAAACCGTATGAAAGGGAAAAAATAGATCGATATTTTATGACAGAATAAATGCTGCCAAATACGGATTTTTGACAGATGAAACGATATTCAATCCGAATAAATTCTGTCAAAAATGTTATTGGATTAAAATATTAAAAATTCTATGTGGTTAAACATAAAAAGTATATATTGTACATAGCAATAAAAATTAAATTTTTTTCACTAAAGATACGTCTGATATACACAACAAAGTTTAAAATAAAACTAAAGTGAAGTTTCTCTCCTTTATAGCAATCAACACTTCATGCATATTCATATATAATACGATGCTTTTGGGATCGCATTAATCTTCTAGAAAATGAGTTTAATAATAATCTTATCATATTACATATGAAAAATTATAATCAATAAATTACATTTACAAGTACACTAACTTGTTCTGGCGTAAATTTCGTGTTTAAGTCATGAAAAATGCTATAAAACTGTGATTAATATTTATTTATTAGCTAGCTTTATGCATTATTTTCTCATTTTT